TGATGATGGTGATCATCATCATCATCATCATCATCATCATCATCATCATTCTGCAGCGAAATACAATAAAGCGAACTGAACTATTTTGAGGGAAAAGGAAAAAGGCCAACCTCTACGGTCAACACACTGAGTGCACAGTCTAACACAGTCCAAACATACCTTTTCGAACATTCTGGCCCGATCAGAAATAACAACAAGAACGGCACTGTTGTCACTTCGCTGTAATCTCCACCAACCAAACAGTTACGGAGTCTTTTGAACCCCAACCTGGAAGGAGCGAGACAACCACTCTACTTAATCGCTCTGTGCATTTGTGAATGCCTCATCTCCACGTCATCTGATGACGTCCACGGGGTTTCCTCCAGCCCGGAACGGCTACAGAGAATAAAGCGCGGTGCGCAAGATCACAGCTGGACATACGCAATACGTGTCCGAAGCAGCGAAGAATATTGATCGGAATTCGATGAGCTGGTAAATTTATCCCCGATAAACTTCCAAACACACGGCGGCTTACCTCCAGATTACTAACCCGTTCATCCCATCCCACGTGGGTTAAATTACGTAAACACCAATAATCGAAAACCTCTAGCCGATGAATATCTTCTACTCGAGATCTCACAAGCACAAAGCAGAACTGAACGAACGCTAGCATAATGTACGCGACCGTTTAACTTCAATGAATTGCCGCGCCTACGCCAAAGGTGTTTGATTCCTGCGTACGATCATCGAGCCTTCGAAATGCGAACGGCTATCTCCATTGCCGCTCTACCGTCATTGGTCACACAACTAATTGAGTAGCAAAAGTACTCCACTCCAACTAATTCCTGATCATTTATTTTCAAACAGGACTAGGCGACACCCAGTCTTCCACCATTACTTTGCACTTTAAAGGTGATGGCACATATGGCATGTGGTAACAGAACTTAGCAGTCTGTGGCGCCTTGCGCTTCGTCCATACATTCGAACAAACAGACGATGTCATCGGTGTACTCCAAATCGCACAGCTTTTCTCCAGCTGCCCATTCAATACCTACTTTTTAGGGACCTCGTAGTGCGTTCTCCAGTATTTCGTCTACGACGAACTTGAAGAGGAACGGCGAAAGAGGGCACCTTTGACGAACGCCGCTGCTGGTTACGTTGTAAACCCTCACTCGACTAGAGGTATGTGAGTACAATGACCTCAGTAAATGAACGTACTTCTGGATCATTTATTTTTAAAGAAGGGAACCTATTAGAACTTCACGGTCAATTGAGTCGAATACTCCTTTCAGGTCGTTGGTCGACGGTGGGTGTGACGCAGCTCAAGGACCTGTCGCAACGTAAAAATTTGATCAATACATTCACGGCCAGGCCGGAATCCAGCTTGCGGTTCACGGCTGTTGATCTCTTAAACGAGTCAGACGTCGAAGTATGACCGAGGCTAGCACTGTGGTGACGATCAAAATCAAGCTAATCCCGCAATGGCTTTCGCAATCGTTTCAAGATCCTTTCTTGAAAATGGAAACGATCAGTGCTTTTCCTCAAGATGAAGGAATGCGCTCTTGCGTCCAAATATTGCACATTACGGTAGTAGTGGAGGTAGTAATGCAGCACGAACTGCTGGAACAGATATTCGATAATGATTTGACTAAGTTTCCTGGTTTTGTCTCCTCCCAGTGCGTCGGAGAGTGAACTTCATCAAAACTAATGCGCGGTCAGACTCAACGTAGGTGTTGCCGTAGGACTTGCGATTTTGCACTGAGCCACACCAACGATATCTTATTCCTATTTGGTCGATTTAAGTTAGCGCACCAGTTTAACTGGAACACCACTTTGCCGTTCGTCGAGAGCTGTGTCGGAGGCTTGTACGGGGTAGGAACAGATGATGATCTGTGCAGAACTGAAGAAATCGATCTTTTCGTCGGCAGGGCAAAGCACAGCTACTCTCTAGGCAAGCTTCTGATGCGCTCAGTTTTCCAACCTGTGCATTCAAGTCACCAGCCAGGACAAGTATGTCGAAGCTTCGACTCATCCGAAAGAGATCGGTGTGTTCATTGTAGAAAGCGTCCTTTTGTGAATCAAAACTGCCATTGGTCGGTTTATATGCTGAACAAATCCTTTTTGATGTTGCTCTCCTTCCGGACGCTGATTGAAACATGGAGATGCACTGCACATAAATGAATGTTGACGAGGACTCAATCGATAAGAGAGGAGTCATCCCTGTTATTGAGTACAATACCTACCCCGCGCTGCCCAATTGGATGGACAGTTATGTTTTTCACAAAGTTGAATAGACAGAGAGAGAGAACAACCCTTATGAACACCACTTTGCGTGAGCGAAAAACAACTGTAAGCTCGAACTTGGCTCCAACTATTAGGATCAGTCGTTCCCCAATTTGAAATAATCTTGACATGTGCTTCAAGAAGGGAGAGCGCCAGAGTAACGAGCGGCAAATTTAGTCGTGGACCGCTTTCACACTCAGAAGGATGAAAAAGGTGAGGCTGCGAAAAGAATCTCTCAGTTTCAGTATTTGACCGAGTGAAATTTGGACTGATGCCTGCTTGACACAAGCAGTCCGGATCTCACGTGGATCTCACGTTACTGTGCGACAAACAACTGATGGATTACCAGTCAAGAACTTTGAGATGACGTTTATCAAACTAATCGCGCTGTGGTTTTCACCAGAGGATGTGTCATCTTTCTTGCAAATCGGCAAGATAATCGCTTCTCACTATACATCGGGAACTGGTCAGCTTCACTACTAACACCGAGGCCCCACGTTCGTGGTAATATTGGTCGTGGAGGAGGCGCTTGAAAACTCGAGAAAGAACAATTCACGCCTATAGATGATTTTTTTTCTACTCCTGACGTGTTTCAATCCGCCCCACCCCCCATCAGCGGGAGTTCATTCGCGAGTTTAGGTCGAACAGGAGGATAATATAAGTGTAATTTTCTCCTCACAACCGGACACTCACCTGACAGTATGCTACCCTATTCTAACCCTTCGGTAGTGCTGATACGTTCAATGACGTAACACGGGCACTCTTGTGCTTTTGTGTGTCTGAGTGTTTTCGTCCATACACGCGCGTGCTTGTGTGCGTGCGCGCGCGCGCGCTCGTTCGATGGTCCTAATTTATGATTCGGTTGGCATTCCCGAGTACTGGTTTGATAAATTGCGCTGCACACAATTCCCTTTTGTCGGATTTGATCAAAGACCCGGTTTCTCCTGTTCGGCGTGAACGGGGTGGGGTGTGATGGGGTGGAATACTGATCTGTTCAAACTGATTCACGTAGCCCGCCCTCGTTGGTTTTTGTGATATTACGATACAAAGCTTGTTTTTTCCACATGTTCGAGGATTAGTCTAATACATCCTGGTTGATATCACAACCGAAAAAAATAAACAAATAAAGGTCTTCTATCGGAGTGAAAATAGAGAATTAATGAAAGCTGAAGTAACAAGCATAATTAGTAGATACAATAGCGCTACTGATTACGACACTCGTCCATCGATTATGTGATCCCTCTGTTCCCATTCAAGGAACCGAATATCTTAAGGTTAAGGTTTTCATACCTTCATGACCGATTTGAGTTTGATCACACAATATTCCGTTACAATCTAATTGGTGGCAAGCGCATCATATTCCCCAGCCAGTGTATTTATTCCATGGGAGTCGACTATTTGCTCCAGTTGGCAACCGGGAATACTTAAAAAACCTGGCGACTAACCTGACCATTGCATGTTCGGTTTCCCCACCAGACTCGTGCAATACGGACTGTACAGTAAACATTCAGGAAGGAGGCGGTGCCATACAAATGCTGTTCGAGAATAAACAGAAAATTTAAAAATGGGCGTTGATGTCAGGGTTCGAACTCAGGAGGCTATTTTGACGACCGTACCACTCCACCACCATCAGCAATACGACACATGGTGCTGGCGCTATTGATGTTCTAGCGTTTGCGTTATTCCTTAAGTATTCCTTGTTCATTTTGTACGTTCCTGTTTCATTCACCCTTTTCAAAGAAAATATCGCTTTGGCTCTGTTTGTTTGACAACGTTCATAAATCAAAGCCCTGTCGAGGTGGTCAACTTTGATTTTACGCCATAGGATTCGTATCGCAAAATTTCTGGTTGGAAGCCGAATGCAGTGGACATCCTTAGTGTCTGGCGTTGTGTGCATTAGGATGTGCTCTTGACCAAGTTTGCCGCGAGAACTCGTTCATCTTCGCGGATCCCGCGAGACGTTTTGGTCCGCCAGCATCGGTATTACTAAACATCAATGCCTAATTCGACTCGAAGATCTCGGATCCCCACAGTAGACGTTCCATTCGTGCAGCTTCAACTGCGATGAGCTTAAAGCGAGTATTACTGTGGATAATGCGCGGCAATTGGTGGTGCATATGTTGCTCCAATCGTTGTACAACAACAACCAGATTTCGCATTTAAAATGTAAGCTCCTTAGGGGTTTCATGCCCGACTTGACCAGGTTCGCTCATGATTTGCACTATACCCGGTCGGTAGCTCCAANGGGGGGGGGGGGAGGAGGACGCATTGAGTGCTGATTTAGAAAGCTACGTCGTTACGTATCGTGATACGTGACCGAGACACTAAACGGACAACAGCGTTAAAATAATTCCAAAGACTTTTAGGTTTTCTTGATGCATTGTGGCTATCGAACACCACCAGTCACCTTTTGTCGTTTGTCCTTCCCGTTAAGATTTCGCAACCATATGTCTGGATGGGGCGAACAGCGGCATTGAATTTAGCTCAATATTTTTCGCTGGTTAGGACACGTGGTAGGCAGGTTTGTTGTCGTCCAGTTCAATACCACGCCTATCCTAGAGGGGCCTTATATGGAGCGCTACTCCACGTCCCGGGCCTTAGGTTGTCGGTTTCCATCATTGAACAGCAAGTTCTCGTGGCTATGGGGTTCGCCCCGTCTACTGTTCATCACACGAAAGTGTCTAACGGTCGTGTACCACCCAGTTGGCACCCTATGATGAAAAAAACCGCGTGAAGGTCAACAGATGAGTGGGATAATTCATGATTTACTGTCACTCTGCCTACGAAGGTCTGTGCCTTTGTAACCATTCAGACGTTTTCTCCAATTTGGCATTTCTCACCCCATAAGCAAATTTTGTGTCAGGTCATAGTGTAAAGCCATTCGATTGCCCTATGCACTTACAAGTTTAGTCTTCAGTTTAACAAAATTCACCACGTGGATGCTTTAAGTTGCACTTTACATTGCGTGCAGACAGACGGGAACACCCCCGAACACAAATACAAATTCACGTGGATCTGATTAGTGAAAGAACAATATATTGGATTATTTCAGCTTTACTTTCAAAGTAAATTCTCCCTTTTGCTGAAAAACTACTACATGCATTGAGATCCTGGTGTAGGCAAATGCCTGCTGTCATGATGGTGGTGGTGGTGGCCCGGTAGTAACGTCACCAAATTATCACCACGGAGGATCAGTGTTCGAATCCCACCGTTGCCACCTGACTTTCCCCTATTTGTGTGTTGTACGGCAGCCCTTTGATTGGCCGTTTCCCTCACTTCCTGAAAATTGTATCATTATGTATTCAATAAAACGAAGTAAAAATGAAAAAAGAAGATCACTTAAAAACGTGTGACTGCTCAAACCACCGTGCTAAGGTGCGGCTACCTAATCCGTATGCTCTTTGAGTATGTACTACTCAATGCGTCAGGCTTTTTATGGTAACCTGTAGTCAGTAGTTCGTTTGTAATTGGATTGTTCCAAGAAGGTCACATTTTATTTTGTTTTTCAAACTGGCATTTTAAGGCCCAAAATCTGCCAACGCGTGATCAGCATTCGGGTATGCGCATCTCTGAGCACAATGCGTGCTTGGATGTGACTCAATTTACTTTACTTTACGGCGGCTGGCTCCTAGGCGCAAGTTGGAGCCGGCTTCATGGATATCAAGTGAATATCCGCGATACCTCTTGAGAGTTAGGTACAGAAAACGTCCCCAGCTTCACCCGGCTTTGGTGGAATCTCGAGTCTTTGATAACTGCAAGTCAGCGCATGATTCCCGGTGTCCGTCTGGAGGGAGCTCATATGCCATTGACAATCTTAGTTGAACAGGGATCCATGCATCCCTGATGTGTACGGAGTCATTACCTTGACCGTAGAGTCGTGAAAGCGACTTCCTTAGCCCAGCACGTACGTCGGACACCGACTCACCGGGAGTTGAGCTCACGGTTACCCTCAACCTAGTTTGGCCCGCCTGTCGAGCGGTTTACTGGGGTGCGACCGCTGTTGCATTGAAACAGCATCTTGGAGACAGGNCAGCATCTTGGAGACAGGTGAGAGCAGGGTGCCTGGTGGAGACCAAAGAACGAAAGATGCCCAAAGGGGCTGACAGCCCTGCGAGTCAGCGGTGCTGCTCCTAGCGGGTACCCCATACACCCCTTGGATGTTGCGAGGATTATAAAATTAAAATGCGCTTCCGGAACGCCACTGTTCTACTATCGGTCGTGTTTTTTTCTACTGGTAAGGTATTTCTTTTTTTTTTACGAATAACCTGTTTCACATTGGTAGTCACACACAAAGCGTGATCGTATGCTTCATCTTCTTCCATTCCTCTCCCCCATTGGTCATGTATAGGAAGGCATGCTGACTGGATTGAATCGAACGGCCAGTTATCAGGTGATAGTCTATGGCGTGCGTGGTGACGGAGATCGACGCCAGATCACTCGGTTCTCGAAGGCCGCCTATGTGAATCTTGCGGTAAGTGCACCGTTCTCTGTCTATCTAGCCATCTCTTCCCGACGTTTTTTTCTTCTGATTATGCCAGAATTTCACTTCGGGTTCACAGGCTACTCATGTGCTTAGATCCCCCCTCCGCCCTCCGCCTAAAACGTCTTGTCGGGATCTCTAATTCCGAAATCTATTATTCGCCTTTCGGTCCTCTGATGTGTGCCACTTCGATCGCGTAATATTCTCGTCCTATCTCTATCTTCCTCTTATAACTCGTATCATTTTTTCATTCATGTTGCTATTCGATGACTTGCCTAACCTTTTGACCTCAATTGAATAAGAAGCATTCACAACCTCCGAATTGTCATTATTCAACTATTTTTTACCACAATTTTATTCGATTATCCATTGCTAGGAACAATCTATTCGAGGATCACGTGTTCGGTGTCTCGGACTGGTGCACATCTCAAAATTTCAGCTTCGTGTTTGAACTAGAACGTGTTCGATTCACGAATAATTGGACCACTGATTTGCGCCAGTCGTTGTCGCACTCTCTTCTTCCTCGTTTTGTTCAGTTCAGTTCAGTTTTTACAACCATTAACCGTGCACTTTAGTGCGCCGGTTTTGGTTGCTGTCTTTTGGTGCCCCGTTTGAATAACAGAGCAGAATGAAGATCGGAGCGTTGAAAGCAAATTCAAGCGGAAGATGNAAAATTCATATAGGATAGTGATAGGGGAAGAATGAGTGGATACACGAGCGTCACTGTTTGTGACATCCAGCCATATCACTCAGTGTAGCTAACCATCGGTGACCATCATCCTGAGGTCCCCATCCAGGGAGCCTAACTGGGCCTATGTAACCTAATCTCCTGGTTAGAGTTTTCATATCCTCATGCCAGGTCTTCGTTTGACCACCCTTGATCTTTTACCGACCGCTACCAGTCTTGGCAAACATCGGTCACCGTGACAACCTATTTGGTAACATGCGTAAAACATGTCCCAACCAGCGTAATCTATGGAGGTCGATCACTTGCTCCAGTGGACGACCGCGATCACCTAAAACTCTACGCCTAACCTCAGCACTGCTAGTCCGGTTACCCCACCAGACTCGTGCAATGCTGTGTAGATAGTGGTGTTGGAACACCGATGATCTATTTTTATCCTGTTCCCGTAAAGGCCAAGTCTCTGCATCGTGGAGCAGGACTGGCCGAATTGCTGCAGCATATACTCGACCTTTAACAGACAGCCGGATGTCGCGACGGCGCCACAGATGTCTCAAGTTGGCGAATAGGAACCGAGCGTTATGCATACGCGCCGACACTTGGTCTGTGATGCGTACTTCGGGTGATATATAGCTGCCCAGATAACAAAATTTGTCTACTTCCTCTACTACTTCCCCAGTCAGGGTGAGACTGAGTGCTGGACCAACCCAATCTTTTAGTAAAATTTTACACTTTCAAGGTGCAAAACGCATACCGAACATACCTAAACTAGCACTCAAACTATCCAGAAAAGCTTGCGATTTACCTGGATCTTCACTTAGTAGCACAATGTCGTCAGCATACTCTAGATCAGACAGTCTGCCACCTGGAAGGTAATCGATACTGCTATCCTCGCACGAGGATAGGGCTGTTTCAAGAATTGAATCTATCAAGAAGTTAAATAGAAACGACGAGAGAGGGAAACCCCGACAACCACTACTTGCTGTGGTGAACTCTGGTGAAAAAGTGCCGTAAGCCCGGACCCGACTTCGGCTATTGGTATAAAACGATTATAATATTGCGAATAACTTCTCGGGCACTCCTTTCAAGGTAAGGCAGCTCCAGAGTTTTGGGCGGTCGACTGAGTCAAAAGCCGCTTTTGAATCGATGAAGATAGAAATGGTGGGTCTACGAAAGGAGTTTCTATGTTCCAGAATTCGACGAAGTGTGAAGATGTGGTCGATACATCCTCGACAGGATCTGAAACCGATCTAGTTCTCACGCTTACACCGTTCACGTGCGGCAGACAATCGACGGAGTATGATACCAACTAGAAGTTTAGATGCAATGTTGATTGAACTAATTCCTCTGTGGTTTTTACAGGAGGATCTGTCACCTTTCTTGTAAATCGGTATGATCACCGATTGAAACCATTCATCTGGAACCTCTTCTCTCCCCCACACTGAGCTCAGGAGTTTTGTCAACTCCAAAATCAAGGCTAGACTTCCGCTCCTAAAAACTGATGGGGACAGCCCGTCGGGGCCTGAAGTCTTATGCCTTTTGTATAATCTATTTCCCGGCTAATCTGTATTTCATACGGAGGATCGACTCCAACTGGTAGTATCTGCACAGTTGAAGCTGATAGGGGAGGTCTTTTTTCGGCGGGGACCAACTGAACTGTGCCCTAAAATGTTCTGCCCATCGATCGAGACGGCCTTGCTGAGTTTGAATCAGTGTGCCGTCAGACACCTCAATTACTTCACTTACGTCTACTTTCCTTGATCCTGTTATCCTAATTAAGCGAAAATGATTGCTACTATAACTGATAGCCGCAGCCTTATCCATCTCTCTACACTTCCCTACCCACTGCTTCTTGCGGTTATTCCTCAGACTCTTGATGAACTGGCGTTTAAGGGATTTGCACGCTTTGTCGTATCTTGAATCCGATGGAATGGCTTTGCGAGCTTCCAGCAGGGCAGCCGAGGTCGGAGAGATCCATCGTTTTTTATTTGATTGTGCGCCAGAATTTGCCGTTGTTTTTATGGACATTTGGATCGCTTTCTTGATTGCCGACCAGTGTTCACTGAGTCTTTCGGCTGATGATTAAGCTGAGAGGTGATCTGGTAGTTCCACCTCGAAGGCTGATTTGCATTGTGGGCATCCGTTTCCGACGGCTTTTCTGTGGTTGTTTATCAGGCGTAGGGAGAATCTCGCTGGTCGCAGAGCATGGTCCGTGTCTGCGGATGTTGACCAGTAAGAGCGGCAGTCTTCAATGGATCCTCTCAAGCGGTGGTTGTTGGCGATGTGGTCAATTTGAGTCCAGCGCTGTGAAGAAGTTGGCGGTTTCCATGTAAGGCGGTGGCGTTTTTTGTGCGAGAAGCTCTTGCTTGACAGATACAGTCCGTGGTCAACACAAAGTTGAAGTAGGTGTTCTCCGTTGTCAGCCCTGTTGGCTGTGATTGCATGCGAACCGCCAAGTAACCTCTCTTATTCGTCTAGGGATCCCACTTGAGCTTTGTGGTACACACACACAATCAGCTCCCTCACAGAACCCATGCACGCGATATTCGACATTCTAATACACTCGATCTATTTCCTGCATCGAGATGGTGAAAGGATCAACGGAGAGAGGGGCATGCAAGTGGTGGTTGTTGGTGATGGGAAACCTTTTTCTCATGAGCCAACTTTCGTCTCGGCGGTAGCCATCATTTAACTGAATGCCGCTAGAAACAAAGTTTAGTATGAAATTTTTATTCCGGAAAGTGATTAGAAACTGTTACTTTTGGTCTCCCGTCCACTGTCTATCCAGACGATTGATCGAAAACAAATGCCACACAGAGATAGTATCGTTTAGTGTAACTCGATTCCACCCGCCCGCCCCCTCTGCATAGTTTCGTGCCAATGTGTGATCCGGCCCCAATCCACAAAGCGAACGTGAACTGGTCGGCAGGGATTGGCAAATGAGAATGGTGCCACACCTGCTCATGATATGTTTGGCGCACAAACTTGAGGAGTATTTCTGTCGGTAATGTGAGTAGCGAACGGTATGGATGGTTTGGGCTTTATCATATATGGCGCCTGCAAGTCCAATCTTCGGCCATACCGATCGAAGTATAATATAAATGATCATGTGTTTCATGTGAGTAATGGAGGATTTGATTTAATTTCAAAGAGGAATTTAGTCGTGTATAGGACAACTGAAGCGTGAACTGAAAAGCTAGGGAAACACTGGGCAGTTGTTTCGATCTGGTTGGATCTCATCAGCATTGAGCCAATCCCCAGTTGTTTCGATGGATTCGCGCACTGCTGATGAAACCCAACCAGGTCGAAACAGCTGTCTCGCGTTTCCTAGCTTTTTAGTTCACGCTTTGTTTTTTATCACACATCTAAGTGTGATGATCAGCAGACGGAGCTAATCCCATAGTCACGAGAACCTGTTGTTCAGTGGTGGAAACCGACAACCTAATCCCCGGGACTTGGAGTGGTGAATCACATAAGGCCCCGATAGGTTAGGCGTCGTATGAAACCGGACGACAGCAGAGCTACCTACCACCAAAGTGGGTTGGCGGTGGCGATGCCGGAACCTCGGATCACAGGGTCCAAATCACACCGGTGACAGCGACTAAATCACTGCACCACCACCACCACACGGCAAATTTTTCCTTATCATATGATATATATATCATATCATATCATATATCATATGATGTATATGATGCAGCAATTCAGCCAGTGCGGCTTTACGTTACAGAGACTTGGTCAATACGAAAACAGGATGAAGATGAACTGTCGGTGTTCAAATACCGCTGCCTACGCAGCATTGCAAGAGTTTGGTGGAGAAACCGGTCGCGTTCGGCTCTCTGAATGAGGTCCTCGAGATCATCATAACCCGGGGGTTAGAGACACTGAGTGATATGGATGAGGGTCTCAAACAGTGGCACTCGTGCATCTACTCATTGTTCTTGAAACCCCAATCTTTATGAATTGTATATCTTCACATGGACTCCACTCTCAATGTTCCAATCTTCCTTCTATTATTTTATCTCAATAGTCAACCGAAACCGGCGCATGAAAATGCATGGTTAATGGTTGTAAAATAACTGAATATATGCTTCGACAAGCCGCATAGGTCAACTAAATCTACCCGATGATTTGATTGGTACACGCGCGCACTGTGTGTGTGTGTAGATGAAGCGCCTGTGTTTGTGCCCAACCACTGTTACTCTGAACGCGACATTCTTCTCCGGTTGTACCATTGGGACCTGATTGTTCTGACAATGCTGAGGAACTTTTCATGATGTCAAGAAATTTGCAATTGCTGTATATTTATCACTTCTCGATCTCTGTCATTCGGTCACAGAATTATTTTATAACGCGTATCCGTTAGACTAACACTGTTTTTTTTATGCCATATTTAAACTCATTGCCTGGTTCCTCCCTGGCGGCTGTTTCTTCCTTACAGACTGCGGATCACACCGGGCCATACAGTCTTCTACGTTCATTGATCAACAACCGTCTGATGTATATTATCCTTGGTGGTATCGCAGCCGTCATGTTCTTTGTCGTGTTTGTGTTTATCCTGCTCTGTTTGTGCCGTCAGCATCGGGACCGTCGCGAGACAAATCAGCGCAAGAAACAGAGTGAGTCTCCTGGCCCCCTCCTGTGCGTGTCTCGATCTCTCGTCACTCGAATCGTGAAGTCCGGTATGCCGGTCATATGTCTCACAAATCTAATGCCTTGAACGTGCTTCGTTTAATCCAGCGAGCATGAGAGACAGCGGGATACGTTCTTCTCTAAATAAACCTAGCAGATCTTAATCACAGCTTTTCTGCAAACCGCTTAAAGGGTCTGTCGAAAACATTATTGGGCAAACATTTCCTCGTTTCTCACATGGTGGCCANAATGAGCAGTATCGGGGCAATGACCATTCGAGAGACTCAGACTTTGGCTCAGATACTAGTCTCGTTATACATCTAAAGTGTCTTACGAAGTTGTAGATTTGCACTTTAACTTCAATTTTTGGACCATTGAAATATCTATCGTTCTATTTAGTGCAGATCAATTTTGATTTAAGCGATCCTCTTCAAGAATGTCACTAACCAGACAAGGTGTACGATGCAAATGATAACGCATTTTTCGGACGTTTCCTCCCTTTTTTCAGTATGAAATAAGTGCTTCAAGCAGCTAGGTCATTCAGTTCTTGATGCGACACTTCGTACTCATTGATTATTCTGCAGATAGCACAGTCCTTCTTTGGAAATAGCTCAACTCAATAGACAAACTTTAGACTTTAGCGAAATTTCAGATGGCATTTATGGTACTAGGACAGAACATGAGGGTCATACGAAGCCCAAGTGAGGAAATTCTGGTCTGGTTTGGAGATGCACACCCTCGAACAAAACAAAAAAAGACATGGTCCCGACGAGGTCATTGCGTATCGCTATTCTCTAACCGTTTGGACGGTCAGTCTAACACATTGGAATCAGACGTGTAACGTCTGGCCTTATCCTCGATCTACGGCTACCGAATCGTGGTTGTACCGCCATGTACATCGAGTTAACCGCTGACCGCCGTGCATGAATATCCAAGAAGGCAATTCATCTTCTGACAGCGAATCGTTGTGAAAACTTGAATATCCGAAGGAAAGGGACAACCGGTAACGTTCACGGTTAACGATAATTTTTAATTTTTGTTTTAATCGAAACTTCTTTCATTGTGAACATCAATCTCAAGCCGTCAGGATTGCTATTTTCCTCAATGCCCCAGGAATAAACACACACACACACACACACACACTTCTCTCTCTCTGATTGATTTGAGATGCTGCCCCTCAATCTGTTTGCGCCTGTTCACAATGTATCCGTACAATAAGTGCTTCTCTGGTTGTCTCGCCCTGTTGCGAAGTTCAGGTCCTCCAATCTTATCTTGTTAAACTGTTCAGATTGGCATCTTTGCCTTTCCGGTTACCATTGCTCTCACTCCCTCGATTTACCGAGTTCTTCACCGACGTGCTAAGGCCACCCAAGCTGTTCCCCAAGGCAGTACACAACCATCAGACAAGCACGCTCATGCCTGCCAGGTGCCTTTGGTGTGTGTGTGCGCGCGCGCTGTTGCTACCACTCGTGTGAATAATTTCACTGTTCAGCTACCTAGCCGGTTCCTCGGGCGTCGGGTTGGTGTGAGCGGTTACCGTGTTATGTTAACCATTCTTCCGATGGAATGCGCGCCATACTGTGTTATGCCATGACTCCTCTGTTCAAGAAATTTATTGCTGTTG